TACAGCGCTCAGTGCTCACTTATATAACGTCTGCGAAGACGCCGGAAACCCGGGCAAAAAGAGCTGCATTCCTGCTGGAGCGTTTTATATCCGGTTATTACCTGCGGGGGAAACATAAAGAAGGCTAATTGCTGCGCGGGGCAACAATTAGCCTAACTCAAATACCGGCAAATGGTCGGTCAGAAAATATTAGTCCTTGCTTTTTTTAGCATGGGCTGGTCCGCCACTGCCACCGCGCTTAAATTTATTCTTACGGGCACCATTCTTACTTGGGCTACGGCTGGCTTCTGCGCGGTATTCAGGGCCGGGGCCCAGCTCTTCAGGCAATGCCACCTTTTCAATTTCACGTCCTATCAGCTTTTCAATAAAGCCAAACTTACGCATGTCCTTACTATTCACGAAGGTGATAGCGGTACCCTTACGCTCCGCCCGGGCAGTACGCCCGATGCGGTGTACATAGTCTTCCGGATCCGGCGGTACGTCGTAGTTGACCACAAGGTCTATCCCTTCCACATCAATACCACGGCTCAGTACATCTGTACCAACCAGCACCGGCACTTTACGGCTCTTAAAGTCCAGCATCAACTCTTCGCGCTCCTGTTGTTCCAGGTCGGAGTGGAATGCTTTTACCTTAACACCGTTTTTGCGCAATTCCTTTTCCAGGCTTTTTACCTTGTCCTTGGTGGAAGAGAAGATAATCACACTTTTATATTCGCCGTCCTTTAATACGGTTTGTATGAGGGAAAGCTTCTGTTCATCATGAGCGAGGTAAGCAAGTTGCGTGATCCCTTCAGCTGGCCTTGAAATGGCAATATTGATCTGTGTCGGGTTGTTGTTCAGAATTTCCTTGGTCAGCGATCTTATTTTAGGTGGCATCGTTGCCGAGAAGCACAGTGTTTGCCGGTTCTTAGGCAATGCAGATATGATGCGTACCAGGTCGTCATAAAAACCCATATCCAGCATACGGTCGGCCTCATCCAGCACCAGGTATTTAAGCCCGCTGAAATCCAGTCCGCCCATTTGCATCTGCGCAATCAGGCGACCCGGCGTGGCGATAATAATATCGGTTCCTTTTGTAAGGGCCTGTTTTTGCTGGTTCCAGCTTTGCCCGGTGCCACCGCCATATACTGCTATTGAACTGACTTCAATATAGTAGCTCATGGCTTCTATCTGCTGGTCTATCTGTACGGCCAGCTCCCGGGTAGGCACCAGGATCAGGGTGCTGATACTGCCGGGTACCGACTGGAGGATCTTATCCAGCAGGGGCAATACAAAGGCAGCCGTCTTACCGGTGCCGGTCTGTGCACAGGCAATGATGTCCTGCCCTTTCAGAATAGCGGGAATAGCCTGTTGCTGGATGGGTGTGGGTGTTTTATATCCCATGGCGTCGATGCCGTCCATGAGCCCATAATCAAATTCAAAATCGTCAAAAGTCAAAGGTTGTATATTTTAAGAGTGGTAGTCTGGTCATTGATGATAATGTGCTACACCCTATGTCAGAAAAGTATCAGGGGACATTATAATGCCCGGCCCGATTGGTAAATATCACTATAAATTCCTGAAATAAAAAAAGGCCGGAAATCCGGCCTGTAAGATAATG